AAGAGAAAGCCTGTCATCACACAACCTCTTGGCCAACTTCATTTACCCCAGTCCTTCAAGATGGCTTTGTGTCAGCAAATATTCATGGGGAAAACTACAAACACAGATGAGGGTAATCAGTGCAATACTTCAGTTGCCATATTTTTTGCCAGAAACTTTCTGTGGCAGCTGTGCTGCAGTGATGCCTCCTAAGTCGTTTCCCATCCAGGGAGGATTAAGGCCGTGCTGCTGAAACAGAGGCTGTACTATCAGAAGGGGACCCACTGCAGGAGATATTCAGTAAACTGATTGAGACCATCTGCCAAACTGTGGACCGAAAAGAATCCACCAATGTTCCCCGTGTTCTGGTCAATCCTTTGTTTCATGTTGAACTGCGAATTAGGAAAGTCATGTAACAGCTGGGAGGTGGTTTTCGCCGAGTGTCAAGCACTTCTGGTATGGGTTATTGGTTGTGGAGGGACTGACAAAAAGCGAGCAGGCTTTGACGGATGGGAGCCCAGCACAGTCTTAGAGAGCTCTGTCTGATGGAGCAAAGAACATAAGTGCCAAAGATGATCTAAACGACAGGAGGAAGAAAAGGGCTAATGCTGTCAGACACATACGACTGCTTGAGGAGAAAAGCTATCTTGTAATACCAAGTATAGAGAAATTCAATAAGTTCACTTTGAGTGTCAAAACATATTGCAGAACACACTATCCATAGAATGTGGCAGCACAAGGGAATAAATGTAATCACAAAATAGTCAATAAGATAGAGTGAAAATATAAAATAAATGCTATGCGGGAGACAAATGTGGAAATATTGTTAGTGCCGGTAAACAACAGAGTACTCGGTGTCTTCCACAAGCGAAGCGGGGAAAAAATGCTTTACGTTCTCCTGAAAAACTCATGTTGACTTAAAATGAGAAGGATACAGAAAACAGCTTTATGTCAAGGTTTAGGCTATGACTGGAGTATAATCTAGAATGGTCTTGTATTTCATGAGCTGTAGCTTGAAAAAGTACAATAAAGTCTTATTGGCCACAAAAAAATGGCAGAAGCAGAACAGTGGAAACAACAGAAGTTCCAGTTGGGAAGGATCTGGAAATGGACATTAGGCTTCTTGTTGAATCTGAGCAAATTTCCCAAATTCAGAGAATCTCAAGGAAAAGGATCTTTTTATTTTGTGAAAAAAATTTCTGAGTGTTTCATTTATACAACTATTTTTAGCTGTATCTTATTTAAATGCTCTCATATAAAAAAACCTTCAAATCCATTTGAAATTTAAAATATTTTTGTCTTAGATGGAAAAGATAGACTCTGAAAATTGGAGGAAGGAAGAGTATCAAAGGGACACTATATTACTGGATTATACAAAGCGTCCCCAGGGAATTAAAGTAATATATAAGGGAAGTTTAGGGTCAAACCAGGTAAGTTAATTCTAGCAACATGTTCCAGCAACTATTTACAGAATTGATGCCTGACTAGCGAAAGTGTAATGCCAGGGCTGCATTACTGACCACACGATGGAGATGGTGACATAAATGCAACGGGGTAAGTGAATTTACGTTGGCTGTGCAGAGAGTTTACACGACACTGCAAAATCTAATATGCTCCAACACATGCGGCATTAAATCAGGAAGTGACAAAAGCAATGAAGCTTTTACGTACCATAAATGATTGCTGCTTGTAGCAAGTAATCAGACAACCCCCAAGAAGAGAAGCTGATTCAGTCTGAGTAGTACATAGGACCCGATTCAAGAAGTAGTTATCAGAGAACCACTTCTGGACTGAAAGTCAACATACTTGTTGAGAAGGAAAAGGATAAAAAAAAAATCCACTGCAGTAATATTTAACTTTCAGAGAGCGAGCAGATAAAAATGAGGAAGTTAGCTAAAAATGAAAAGAACAGCTAAAAAGATTTAATGCAAACAGCATGGAGGCAGGCTAGAGATAAAGTGTATGAGAGATTCAGAATAATCACACAACCCATCAATTTTTAAAAAAAATTATAAAAATCAACTATCTTACAAACAAGAAAACCCCCCAATACCCAACCTAAAACAACAGAATGAAGATTTTGGAAAGACACCCTTCAAAAGTGTAAGTTGTCTCAATGGAGAAAGATAGGAAAAAAAAGCATAAAATCTGTCAAGTTAAATACAAGCCACAGTATTTTGAGAATCAACTTGCTACAGACATAAAAGTTAGTAGTTCTTTTTTGTTACAATAACTACACTAGAAGCAGCAGGCCTCCCAGAGAGATGACTGGGTAGATAGGCAATCAAGGTATAAAAGTGCTGAATACTAAATTGATTGTTTTCACTGATGTTCACAACAAAGAAGGTTAGAGAGAGTCTCACAATCTGAGGAAGGTTCTCAGTGGCTATCATCATCTGAAGGTATTTTAGAAGAAGTAAACAATACCGAACAATAAGAGTTGCCATAAGGTGATGTTCACCTAAAAAGTATTTTAAAGGAACTCAAACATGACATTTCTGAACTAACTAATGTAGCATATAACCTGTCACTTATGTCAGCCTTGATGTCAGAAGAAACGTTGTAACTGTGGCACACTCTTTAAAAAGGACTCAAGGGCTGATCCCTCTAATAACAAAATATAAAGGAGACACATTTTTATACCACTGTAAAAGATCCATGTTGTGCTCACGTCTAGAATATCGTGTAGTTTTAGCATCATAGAACCAGAAGAGAGCAAGAAAGCACAGATGACCAAAGATGTGACATGGTTTTATATATGAGAATATTAAATAGATTAGGGTTCGTCATTTAGAAAATAGGTTGGAGAAGCGGACACGTCAAGTCTATATAATCATAAATGGTATAATGGATGTAAAAAGGGATGCATTATTCTCTGTTTCTTTCTATCTAAGGAGGTACAGGCTTAACCATATAAAAACATTTAAAGCAAGCAAAAGGAGATACCTTTCACTCATTGTGTCATTAAAATGTGAAATGTATTGCCATAAGACGTCACTGAGATCAAGCTTATGACAGCTGGGTCTCTCTCTCCACTCAGCAGCTAGCAACCACTGTGGCTATGATGGAGGGCCCAGCTCAGAAAGCCAGTTTATTGCTGGCAACTGGGAAGGCAAAGAAGAAATCTTTCATACTTCTTCCTGTTTGCCATAAATTTCTGCTGCTGCTCAGTGCTGAAGTCGGGATTTGAGGGTAAGTGGAGCATTCGTCAGCTCAAACTGACGAAAGGTTATGGTTTCATGATGCTATCATAATAATAGTAACAATAATAGAAAACAGAAAAGACTGCCTATTATTTGCAAAACATTTGGATTTTTGAAAGAACTGTATATCTGATGGAATTAAATAATATTGAAAGTTGTTTTAACAAGCTTCAGGCATCCTTTCGGTGTGCGCTAATTCCACTGTTCCGTCTGGTGTGTGCTCAACTGATTGGAAATGATGTAACTGCCATAGCACGCTGCATTTAGAAAGATCCCTGTTTTCATGTGCAGATGTACCTTGTCGCTAGTTTAGATGGTTGCTGGGGTAGCAACTGCATTTTTTACATATATATAGGTATATATATATATAATGTATATATGTGCATGCATATGTACGTATGTGTGTATATGTATATATATCAAATATATAAATAAAACCAACCTGGTAAATCTCACCATTTTTCCCGAACATATCTTTAAAGTATTAATTCTCTGAGCCACGCTCACTTTTTATAACATCCGAAAAAGTGAATACTCTTACAAAATGTTTTTCCCCCGCTTTTTGGAAGTTCATTTTTTTTCTGCTCAGTAAGAATTTTATCATAATTTCATGCCCCCACACTTCACGGTTTGTTACTTGGTCTATTACTCTCACATTTAACTTGATAAAGTCCTGCTTCCTATGATATTCATTTTTGAGTTTTGATTCTTCACAGCTGCTGCTTTGAAGTCTTAGATAACATTCTGAGCATTGCACATTGCTGCTGGTTTTAAACTTTTCATTCAACGGCAGTACATAGCCCTGTTTCTCCCCAATAACTTTTCAGTAAATTGTTATATTCTAACATTCTAAAATGAATGTTTTGCTTTTAATCAGGGCAAAACTGTGGAGTCTATTCTTAAAAGAAGCTGGCAACTCCTGTCAAAAGGTTTGGTGATTTATCCTCATCTTCTTCAATCCTTTCTTCAAAGGAATTTAAGTCTGCTACTCAGTTCAGGAGGATTCTGAATCATTGTGTGTTTCATACATGCATGAAAGGAAGAACAGATGCTCATACTTGTCTTCGTGCCCTCTCTTTCAGCACCATGTTCTTTTTGACCCAATCCTGTCCAGGATCAGGAAATGCAGCTGCCAATAACTTCCTTTGGATAACATGAACGTGTGCTGGATAGTGAGTATGTGTGTTGTTGAATGGCTATTAGCTGGAAGCAAGCAGACATAAAAACTCAGGTTTTGCCCTCGCTTTCGCCTTTCAACATTTACAGTGATCTAAAACTGTGATCTGGACCACAGGTCAACATCAGGCAAAAACTTCCTTTACCAACCTTTACATTTTTAGTTATGAATTGGAAAAAATTGGTCTGCAATTTTTTTTAACTTTCTTAAAAGGACAAAAAAATCAGCAAGGGCCTCATCTCACACATTAAGCTGAGGTTGTTTTGAATCTCAAGGCAACAAGGATGGAGAGCTGAGGGCACCATGGCTGGAGCAGTACTGCAGATACTCCCACTGGTTTCTCTTCTCTGTGTGGGCTTTTTACGTGAAGGGTCCTAATTTTTTCACTCCTTAGCCCTTTCTGTGCAGTGTCCAGTGATTTGTCTATGGATACAAACATGCTGTTCTCATGCAAGTTATTTACAACCATGTAAGAGCACAGATTATGTACACTTACAATCAACACAATTTGACACCTTGTCAAATTATATGCACTGGCTTAAAGAAATGGCAAACTTTTACCAGCGTTAATCTTCCTTCAGAGTCATGATACGGGACAGAATTCTAATAATGAAATACCCTTATTATACAGAAGTACTTACAGATATTAGCAGTGCCCTTAGGTATAGGCAGATAAGAACCAGGGCTCCACGGTCGGCCCTGGTAATTCTTCTTGCATTTTCCACAGTCTGGGCCAGTTGTGTTATGCTCACATTCACAAAGTAGTCTTTTGTTTTCTTCTTTACAGCCAGTAGCATGAAGGTTGCACTTACACCTATTTTAAAAGGCAAAAATAAAAAAAAAGTGGGATGTTACTGAGAGGTGAGTTTAAGTTCAGATAAAGTCTTAGTAAAGCGTGGTCTATGGCAACCACTCTATTTCTGTGTGTTGTGCCTGTATTATTGTTTTAGCATGCTTTACAAGACATCACTCAAACAGCATGTTGTAATATCTTCAACTCGCACAAGTCTAAAAGCAGTAGTTTCACCAAGACTCCAAGATGCTGAATCTTTTCTTGTTTTCACTAACGCAGGTCCACTGAGATCAACTAAATTATTCTTAATTTTCACTACAGACAGATCTATAATCTTGCAAAAATTCAAGAGTTACTCACTACTCCCAGGAACAAAACAAGCCCTCTGCTTATGTCCTTAGAGAATCTGGCCCAAATTAAGATCCAAATTAGGCCTTGGGAGTCTGACAAAACAGACTGCAATTAAATACCCTCTGCAATGCCATACTTCAGTAGAAGGGAAGCTCACTGTAATGGTGTTTTGCCATTCTTGTTCAGCAAGTACTTTCTTGCTCAGAAAGGAAAATAATTTTGCCTGCTTTAATTTGATATAGTTGTAGTAGCTGAAGGTCAGAGGAAATATTTTGGTAGGCACATTTAGTTTTACTTAGGAAAGAACACCTAATGGAACCTTGTGACAAAATCATTAGATTAAACCAGATTCTGCATCTGGTCTTAGAAAAATTGTATTTTCCTTAAATTCCCCTCTTTCC